CCCCTCTCATCAATAAAGGGCACTGTTTTAAGGAAACCCTGCTCTGGGAAGAATTTAACAGTATCCTATTACAATTGCATTGTCTTATTCAGAAGCAAGTGGTATTACCTGTCAACCGGGTTCGGGGCATAGCAAATAGCTACTACCCCACTCCACCGAGCTACTTACTACCTGGCTCCTGGGCAGATAAAGTGGCAAAAGGAGAGAGGCCTCAAAATCTCATTTTCATTCCCCTTGCAGAGAAGAGATTGCCTTTATTGACAGAGACGACTGAAAATTGCTTGAGCGTTCCAATAACCAGTCTGCGTCGAGGCAGAGAGACAGTCTGGCGGAGGCGCGCTCCCTGCTCCATCGCGTAGCTCCGCCGAGCCACGCTGTGCTCCAGCCCAAGTCTGTGGCATATGCAGACTAGACTGCGAGGAGCCTCCTCGCGTCCTCAAAAGCAGCCCCTCTCCACCTCCACTCCCAGCCTGCTGGTGCATTTCCTGGATCCCTCCCATAAATCAACATGAATTCAGGGAATCCCTGCCAGAAACCAAACTCTCAGACACATTCAAGGGCCTGGGGGGTCAGGCCTGGGTTAGCTGGGCAAGGCAAATGTCCTCCCGCCCACCGGGAGAGCTCTAAGGACTGCATATTCCAACTAAGCCACTAGGTGTCCCCATCCTTGATTCCAAGTCCTGAGTGTAAGCCGGAGTCCTGGCTAGAACTCCACACAATTCCATCACACCCCTCGCCTGCGGGTCTGTGATACTGGAGCTCCTCTGTTGGATTCTGCTCAACCCGTTAGCATCTCGGATGCAAAAAAAAAACAGTGAGCGGCAAGTTCGACGAGGCCAGTGTTAGCTAAGCAAACCCTAGCTCTCACACCCAGCTCCCCTGTTCTTCCTGGTGGTCGCCATTGTCTATCCTATTGGTTTATTGCAATAAGCAGTATATTAGTATGTGTGTCTTGCTGCACGAGGGATTTAGACGTCGAAGTGCTGCTGAAATCATGTAAGTCTGTGGCTTTTAGCAAAGAATGAGTGACAGATGGATAATTTATGATGATTCCTGAGACCTAAACTATAATTATGAAGTATTTCTAGGTATATATGCAGGCTGCAAAATGTAAGGAGCCCAGAGTTAATGCTAATTTATTGCTGACAGCTGTACATATAATAATATGTCATGTCTTTTAATCTTACATTCCGTCTGCCTTACATCAAGCAATCTTTTCATTCATTAATAAAATCAAGCCTCGCCATTATTCTTAATGATGAAGTCCCATTTTGAACTTGGAAGACTCCCGTAATTAAGTCCCATATTTCCATACACCAGACATCTGAAGCTTTAAGAAAAGGGAGCCCTGAACTTCCTGTTTTACAAGGAAGGTGAAACATTAGAATGACGGAGCCCACCTGCTCGCGGTCCCGAGAAAATCAGGAACAAATTTTCAAGTTCATCTTCTTAGTTCTCACTCCTGCACCCCTTCCCTTTGAGCTCCCCTGCCTTCTCTTACCCTCCCTAAGTCTTGCCTTTTTTGAGACAGCGCATTTTTTTAAAGGTCATGACAGCTAAAATCACGGGCCACAGGTCTCATCCCATTTTCTGTGCTGTGCCAAAGATGGACATGATTAATCCCTTCGAAATAAATCTAATCTAATCTTATTACTCCCGAGACAAGGTGTCCTCCGTGAGTATTGTGGCCGGAAGCAAGCTGGTCTTCCTCAGGTTTCCACTGGTTTGGTGTCTGTTCAGGTCACAAGCAGTTATCACTCTGGCCACTTACTGACCGCACTGTCCTTGGCATTTCCAAAATGTAAACAGTGCCCTGGTTCGAGGTGTGAGGCACTATGTATTGCCAGACCCTGGTCACTTTAGGAGATACAAAGCCATAATAGTTGCAGAAAAAGTAAAACCTTTCACCTGTGCAGCTAATGAATGGCCCCAAAGTAGAATAATGAGGTGTGTGGAGATAGAGACGCAGTTATCTGGGTCATCTTTCATTTGGAGACAGAATCAGATCCCACTGAAGAGGTGCTGGGTAATTGAGTAAGCAGGTTTCCTATCTATAACACTAAATCTCACTATGATTGGTTAATTAAATCATGATGAATAACGTGCTGCAGCAGGTGGAAGGTGCCGAGTTTAAGTGAGAGTAGCACAAGTTCAATGGAACAGCGTCTGAACGTCTCGCCACTCGCTGACTTTGAAATACTAAATTTTTCTGATGAGATTTAGTTGTAAGATTAAGGTTTTGTGAGGCTGGCTCTTTAAAATGCTCTAGATGTTTCAGATTTGGCATCTGAAGACCTTCTCAGGTTCCAACAATGAAGGCCGGGGGCCAGCATTGTGATACAGCAGAGTTAAGCTGTCACTGGAGACATCTATACTCTACATCAGGCCACAGGTTCAAGCCCCTGCTCTGCTTCGGATTCAGCTCCCTGCTGATACAACAGGGAAGGCAACAGATGATGGCCTAAATACGTGGGCCCTTCCTGGTGGAGTTCCAAGGCTCCTCGCACTGGCCTGAACCTGACCTGGCTATTGTAGCCATTTGGGGGATGAACAGGCAGATGAGAGAGCCCTCATTATCTCTGCCTGTCAATAAATAAATAAACACTTTTCTTAAATGAAGCCCCTGAGTCTTTTACTAATACCCCTTCCTTTCATGTAACCACTTGTTCCTTTTTGCTCTGCCTCTCACGGTTACTTCTGTGTAGGAAAGTGCCAGCCACAGCTGTGTCACACTTGAGAAGCAGCTCCAAGCCTGAGAAATATCTTCACCTTCCAAACCCGCTGCCAGTCAGCGGGGGCCTGAGCTCATCACCATCACTCTAAGATGCAGGGGTCACCATTTCAAACCCTGACAGTCATCAGTCCAAAAGAGAACCTGGGGGGGAAGTGCCCTGGCAGGTCAACACTCTGAGTATGGAGGTCACGGCCCTCATTTCCACACACAATTCATTAGCCAGCTCCAGCCATAGGCCGTTCAACCGGGCCACACCAGGGCCAGGAAGTTCCAGCTAACCTCATGCTGGAAGAAGCATGACAAATAACTGGTGAATCCCAGCCACAACGGCCACAGACAAAGGCACCTTCCTTCACCTGCTTGGAGTGTCCTCATGCCCTCTAGATCATATTCTGTTTTGATTTTGCACATTCACCTGGTCAAATCTCTCCTTGATGTTCTATTTTCAGATTCATGGACAGGACAGTTACGATAATACTCCAAAAGCAACCAGCGTTGTAGTCTCACAGGTTAAGCCACTGCTTGCTAGGCCAACATCCCATATCACATGATCTGTTTGAGATCAAGTGCAATCCAGTTCCCCTCTAATGCGCTTCGAAAGGCAACAGAAGATGGGCCAAATACTGAGGGCCCTGGGACACACACGGGAGTCCAAGACGGAGTTCTCGGCTCCTGGATTCAGGCTGGCCCAGACCGAGATGCTTCAACCGTTTGGGGAGTGAGCCAGTTATAGAATTTCTTTCTCTCTCTTCACAAACCACAATTGTTTGTGCTGGGACTCCAAGGAAAAGAAAGACATTTTCATATTCTTTTATTATTCGACCTTTTGTGCTCAGACTTTTTGTATTTCAGTGTTTTTCTCCTGCTCAGTCACTTCACTTTTGCCATGCCATCTTTTATTTGGACGTCACTTCTCCACGGGTTCACTTGATGAGGCGTGGGAGGAATGTCAGAATTTCAATTTTCCTGGTTGTCCCATGTCCAAATTCTAGTGAGTTTCTATTTCCAAAACAGTGACTGTAAATTTTATTCTGCAAATTTGGTATATCTTCCATCGGGTAACAGACAACCCGCTCCAGCGTCCTCTAGAGGTCTGGAAACCCTAAGGTGTGCCACACCAAACAACCTCAGTCCATCACCAGGAGTGCGAAAAGAAGCTTCAGTTTTGCCCACTCCCTCCTGTCCACGGCTTCTCTGCTGAGTCAGAACCCAAGTGCTGAGCTGCACAGTTCATTTTGGTTGGGTTTTTTTTTTTTTTAAGATTTATTTTTATTGGAAAGGCAGTTTTACAGAGAAAAGGAAAGACAGAAGGATCTTCTGTCTGCTGGTTCCCTCCCCAAGTTGTCACAACGGATCAGATCTGAAACCAGGAGCTTCTTCCCGGTCTCCCACACAGGTGCAGGGTCCCAAAGCTCTGGGCTGTCCTCTACTGCTTTGCCAAGCCACAAGCAGGAAGCTGGAAGGGAAGCGGAGCAGCGTGATTTGAACTGCCACCCACATGGGATTCCGGTGTTTGGACAATGAGGACTTTAGCCACTAGGCTACCGCGCCAGGCCCTGCATTCATTGTTAGTAGACCCAAACTGCCTGTTACTCGTGGCGAAGTGGGGTAAAATGCCACACTCTGTATTTCTCCAGTTAGCCAGGGAGTCCAAAGAGGACTGCACATCCTGGTGTTTGTGAAACAGATCCAACCTGAGCTTAACAGGGCTGAGGCTGTGTGACTAAGTCAGCATACCAAGCTGGATCCTAAGAGGCCTGAAAATCGTCACATCTCTCAGGCAAAAACATAAGCAAGGCGCTCCTGAAGTGAAGCCAGGGTCCTCCAGGTAGCCAAGACCAAAAGAAAAAAAACACAAATTCCACAAGCAAGGGAAGGAAACACACATCAGTGCCCATTGCTGAAAGTGGGTGGAGGGACAAAGCTAGGCCCCAGATGATTCAGGCGGTGTGGGAAGACCCCATACTTCTGGACCCAGAAGACCCCTGCGAGGGTGAGAGCGGGAGGGAAGGGGCCGTGAGAGCCGCCCACCCTAGACCCGGGAACCGTGGCCAGCAGACATGATAACCTGCCAGGTGCCCGCCCAGCCTCAGCGGTCCCCGGGATGCCCGTGGGCGGGGCCTGGACATCGCCCCGCCCCCGCCGCCCGCCACTCGGGTCACCTGACCTGCCGCCGGCTCACGTGATCCGTCCCCTGCGCCGCCATTTTGGAGCTCCGAATGAGGAGGGGGAAAGCGGGGGGTAAAAAGAGGGAAAAGAACCGGGAGAGAGGTGGGCGAGGACGAGGGCGAGGGCACGGCCGGGTCCTAGCCGGCTAAAGGAGGCTCGCGGAAGCAGCAGCCGCCACCCGACCGCAGGTACCGCGCCCCGGGGCCGCCCCTCCGCCCGCTCTGAGCACCGCCGCCGCCGGCCATGTGCATCCTGCCCCTCAGGCCTCTGCCGGTGCTCGCTTCCTCCGGCCGGCCGACACCCTCCCGGGGCTCGCCACAGGCCCTCCCTCCTCCAAGTAGCGTGTCCGCTTTCTGTCCGCTGCCGCCGCGCTCCCGGCGTTGGCCCGGCCGCTGGCCAGCTACTGTCACCCGCCGCGTCCGCAGCCTCCCTGCTCCCTCGCCTGCTCGGCCTGGGCGTCGTCGCCCCAGCTCGCTTCGGCCCTGCGGGGGGCACAGGACAAGCTGAGGAACGAGGCACTTTGTCCCGTCCCCTTCGATGGCAGGGGGCTGTTTCTGGAGGTGTCTGAAGCTGTTGCGCGGGTGGGGAGCAGGCGGCAAGCGCTGGGTCTTTGACGACCTGGGGGATGGGGGGGCGTCCGGAGTGAAGGGTCTGTGTGCAAGTCCTCTGTCTGCCTCCCCACCCCCAGGGGTCCCTTGGCAGTCTCTTTCCTCATCCTGGCAGCGGGTCGTCGTTTGGCCATCCTCCGGCCTGCTGCCTCCCCTCCCCGTGGTCAGGCTTTGATGGATTTCTCACCTCCTCGAGTTCGCACTTTCTTCACTACTGCTCTGAGTCCGTGTCGGGGTTGCGTTACTGATTAAAAGAGAAAGCCAGGCTCTCTCCATTCCTTTCCCTCAGGAACTCGTTGAAAATTAACTTGAGGCCCACCAGCAGTGAGTGCATCGGGCCCTGGCAGGGAAGTGTGTGAACAGGCATCGCTCGGGTAGTGTGCCTTCTAGCCAAAACAAGTGAGCGTTCTTGGGTCTTCTAGGGAGGGCAGAGCAGTGTGGCAGCTGGGTAGGGAGGAAGCCTCGCCAGAGGGTAGGTCGGCCGAGCCTGTGTGTCCTCTTTTCTTGCTGCCTTTCTGCCTAATCACTCACCCTGAGGGTTGTATTTTTGGTTGAGGTTAGAATAGTAATTTGCAGTTTATTTTTCCACATTCATTAGGACATGATGCCAGCAAAACCAATAGTGCTTTGAGGCAGTTATATAAACTCTAAGGTAACACACCGAGTATACAATTATCCTGAGGAGTTTCCGGAGCTGCTTTTGTTTTTTTGTTTTGTTTTGTTTCCTAATTTGTGTACAATCCTCAAGACTGCTCACTAGGTAAATTCTGTAAATTTGAATCACATATTGGTTTGCATGAACGTTCCTTTCAATTTCTTCTTGATGTGGGATGTTGGGAAGTTTTGCACTGCCTCTCTTCCCCCCCCTCCCGAAAGAAAGAAAACCACATTACTGTGTCTCCCCCAGAAAAGGCAGTGTTTGATATACTGTACTTTCATTCTTGGCCACAGCTGGATTTTGAAGATTGATCCAGGGGACTGTATTAATTTCAGGAATTGATTTGAAAGACACTGGCTCTGACACTTAACAGCCATGTAACCTTGGGTAAGTCACTTCAATTACACTGAGTTTCCGTATTTCTACAATCGTGTCACACTCACCCGCGCTGTCCCGAAGAGTTCTGAGGCTCACGTGCCTGCACATGCGTGGTGAAGCCCAGCAGCGAGGGACTGATACTTCCCAGGATGGAAGCCTTACAAATTTTTGTTCTCGCTGCGAAGGGGAAAATTTGTATTGGAGAAAGAGTGATTTTAGAATTATTACATTGGCCTTGAGTTCTGTTGCTACATCAGTCACTGCTTTCTACCTGTGAAGTTCCTTATCTACAGAAAACCAGCGAGCGCTTCCAGGATTAACATGAATATTACATAAAATCTACACAGGCACTGCTCCTTGGACTTGGACTTCGGGGGCAAGGATTTCCTCTAACCACTTTTGTGACTTCCAACACTGCTTGGCACACTGGAGGTGCTTAATAAGTGAGAGTAAATCTGAGTGTTGGTTAATGTTAGTTAGACCTTATGTCTTATTTGCAGCTGCCAAATTAGAATATTGTCTAGGGCTAGATGCCAGCTAAGAAATTCTAGACTATGGAATTCGTATATGCGATATTTATACTTGATTTTTTCTTAGTGGCAGTTCATAATGATATTGCTAAGGAGATTTTAAATGAAGGAGATGATAGCTGACAATCCTAAGGAGAATTCAGAAATAAATGTGTAAGCAGCTTCCAGGCCACTTTTCTTAACGTTTGTAGTTTGCTTGGCATTTTGTATCTGTGGACTGGGAAGCCCAGAGAGATGGTGACGTGCCTAAGGTCATGCAGCTGACTGAAGGCATTTAGGGTTTATGCTGGAGCAAAAGAAATCTTTGTTTTTCAGAATGATAATCAAATAATCAAGGAAGGTACAGAATTAATCGGCAATTAGATTCTGTAGCACATTTTTTTCCCAAGTTGGAATAAAGCCATTTCTTGGTCTAAAAGAAATTTATTTCGTACGATACTGTCTGAATGTATACGTGAAAATTACAGGCTTTTCTCCAAGCCAAATGAATTGTTCAGCTAGATTTTGTTAAAATTATGTTAACAATACTGCTATAACTAAAGAGAGAACTAAGTAAAGAACACAAATAAGCCACATAGCAAACTAAAACACAATGAAGACAACTGAAATCATGTGGTCTTAACTTTTCTTACCAATGACATTAATGCAAGACATTTGGAAGATTTCTGTCATGGAAAAATGTAGGAAACTCTGGAAAAGGTTGTAAGCCATCTGCACTTCAGGATGCAACTGTATTTACTGTTTATTAGTAACAGTATGTTTCATTTGGTCTGACGTTATGTCTACAGATTCCAGACAAGAAATTTGTGTTCTAATGCCCCTAGTCTTCCCTTTTTCTAGTAAGCCTTTGTATTCAGCTGTATTAAATTCTCACTAACCCCAAACAACATGCCTATTTTCACTTCCAAAAATACAGTAACTGTTAGTCTTGTCCTTGTGTCAACAATATTCCAAGGAAGCAAATGGCACACTGCAGTATAGGTGATGCATAGGGATAATATAATTATCTAGAGCTGGCAGCATCAGGAAAAAGAGGTACCAGAATTACAAATTTGAGATAAAGAATGCGATTAAAAGATACATTTATTTGGGGTACAAAAAGTGTCTGAAATTCTTCCGGGTTTTTTATACAGATTGAGCCTTGGGAAGACACCTCATAAAAGTCTCTTGCTGAACAGCCTGCCAAAGAGAGAAGTGTCCTTCCGTTGAGAAGCCCTGCCAGTCCAGGATGTTCTAGGCAACCAGGGCAGTTGTTCTACTGTCTCCTTGGTCATGGCTCTCAGTTGGTAGAAGTTATTGAGAAACCGGAAGCCAGGGCAGCCTAATGATATCACCCTCCGGGAACCTCCAGCAGACTTGGAAGGAGGATATCATGAGGCCAGAGCCCATTCTTTGGGACCAGGACACATCTTACCTCGTTAAGAAGCCTTTACTTGCCTTCATAGCCCAGAGGAGCTCTTCCTGTTGGGATTTAACTCTTGGTCATTGCCTTTGGTCTGTTTTTGCCTTGTATACTTACTGCAGTGTTTAAAACTGTGACTTCATTTTTTTTTTCTTGAAAGTTATTTATGTATTTGAAAGGAAGAGCTAGCGAAGGAGACCGATACCTTCTCTGATTCTTATCCCAAATGGCTATGATATCCAGATCTGGGCCAAGCTGAAACCAGGATCCCGAAACTCCTTCCGGGTTCTCTCACTTGGGCGGCAAGGACCTGGACACTCAGGCCATCTTCTGTTGCCTTCTCAGGCACGTAAGCAGGGCACTGGGCCAGAAGTGAAGCATCCAAGACTTGAACCATCACTCTTGGTGTTGCAGGCAGTGACGTTAACAGCTGGACCACAGTGCCAACCCCTACTTCATTATATTTAACTTGTAAATTTATTTACTTAGTTATTTATTTAGTTACTCAATTGGGTTTAAAATTATAAATACCGTGAATTTACTATTTTTCCATTCTTCCTGATAACTTTGTGTCTTGTAGACAACAATACTTACATATTTATACAAAGAGTTAAAAATAGCACAGTCAACTTGCAGGTATTCATCACACAACTTCCATTACAGAATCTGTCATTCTTACTGTGTCCTCACTTTCTCGTCGCCACCTAGATAATTGTTTATAAATTGTTATATTGATCTCTTAGGGTTCAAGGAGAGCATATATATACATTATCGTAGTATCCACATTGTAATCATCATTGAATTATTGGGAGTTTTTGTTCTTTGTTTTCTTCCCTTATTCTTTAGATGAGTTTTATTTTGCCTGCCATGCAGACTGATAGATGTTTGCATTAGTGATCTAAGTAAAATTTTCATGAGAATTTTAAGTAGGCTTTCAGGACCCCCCTCCCCCACCCTACCACTCCCACTGTGTATATGTTATTGTGAGTTATCTAACCTTTTGTTGTTGTTGTTGTTTCTTAATAGAGCCATGTCTTGGTGAGACATAAGTGGTGCGTTGATTGTTACATGTGGGCCCAGACTAGTTTTTCAGGTGTTTCTTGGTGTGTTTTATGTTGTCATATCTGCTTTATCGTTACCATTACTGTACTTAATTCCCAAACGTATGCATCCTCTAAAACGAGATACTTCCATAAATGTTGAGGGAAAATTGGAGCATCTGCTGCAAATTCCCATTAGCTCTTAATGCCTGAGCAGACACAGCTTTCAAAAGGCTGAATATTTTGTCAGACTCTTTTGTACTAGTCTTTTTTTTTTTTTTGAGCTGAGATGAACTCCTCCTCCTCCTGTTCGTTTTCTTAAGTACATGCTGAAACATGGAAGAGAGGTAGTTCACACTGCTCTGCCTCCCCCCTGTGGTGTCACTAAGTAGAAGAGAGATGCATGAGTCACCTTCGTAACCCTGTGGGTGTGTGAGGTCTGTTGAGAAAACATTCACGGTGTGTTAAACCCCGCCCCCCATGATCAGTCTGCCTACACGAAGATTACATTTCATGGGAGAGGAGACCTTAGATCCACAGCAGTCCTAACCTTGTCTAAGAACTTGAATGCTTAGGGAATTCTGTCATTAAATGAATTTACATTTACCGTTGAGTTAATGATAGTAACAAAATCAGTAGTCAGATAAAGAGCTACAGCTCCTCTCGGCCTAAAAATATAGAATTCTAACTGTCTTAGGAAGCTACAAAGTGTATTTCTGTCATAGCAGATTATTTCTACCATTGATCTCCTCTTCAATGACTTCAGATTAAAGGTAGAGTCTTAAAGAGACTTTGATTCTATCTATGAGAAAAATATGTAAAGGAACTAGTATTTTCGAAAGGGTGTGTAAAGGAGAGTATCTGACCTTTGGAGCTAGGAGAGTAATCTCAATGGCAATGGAATGCATTCCCTTTCCAAGAGGGTAGGCACAGGCACTCAGCAAGGATGAGAACAAAACTGTTCCTTCAGAGGAGGGATTTGGGAGGGAAGGAGGGAGGAAGTAGGACCAGAGAATCTGGAGTAGAGCGTTTGTGTTTTCCCCTGACATGGACCTCTTAGATACTGAAGGCTGGTTTGCCTGAAGGAACTCCATAAGTGGTATCCATTGTTGCCAGATGGATGCTCTGGCCCAGTAGCAGATAAGGACACAGATGGGGTCTACCAGAACAGTTGTGGTATGATCCTGGCCACAGCCAAAGATCCATATTTATTGAGTTAGCCATGTGGGAAAGAGGAGCCATGATTCACCACTTAAGTGAGAATTCAGGGCCTGCGACTGAAGTTTAAGAATAGTATGGTCTTTGGTCTGTAGCTAGTGCCACTAAAAATTCTGTTGGCATTTACTGGATGTTGTGGGTAAGATTCCAGAATGCACCTAAAATGTGGAAAAACAAAACTTGTTGCTGGATAAAAGCCTAAACTTAAAAATGTGATCCAAGTCAACAAATTAATCTCACTTAAAGCCAAAGGAAATGTTTGAAAGAAAACTACTGCCAGGAAATATTTTAAAAAAAATATTCAAGCTTTAGGCAGAAAGATTTGTGAGTATTTTATGTTTGGTGACTTCCTTAGCCATAGTATATTACTGGAACCTATCGAGAACTCGTCTGTAGACTCGCTTCATTTCTGGACTTGGTACATAGATGGCTTATTACATTTCTTAGCCCTGATGCCTCTCTTTCAGAGAAAAAAAATTACATACATGTGGGTATGAGAGATGGTTGACCACTAATATGACCTCTAGTACAAAACCACAGCATACTTTGTGGTTTATTTAGCTCCAGAAAGATGAATCAAAGGAAGTAAAAGGAGGAACTGGCTCATTGGTTTTATTTAGTTTCTTTGCGTGGTACTTCCCAAAATTCACTTGTGTCCTTTATAGGAGGTTACAGGGACTGTATTTTTGCAATTCCAAATGTTTGGCGAGAAAGAAAACATTTGTAGTTTTGAATCGTATAACCGTAGTTACAGTTTATGCACAAAGTAGTCTCTCAAGAATTTCATGGATCACATTGGCTGTACAGAATGATGCTTCATCCTAATTTAAAGTGGTTCCCCCAGAGAATAGAAGTCTGTCTTTGTTCTTGTTTTGGATGTCGTACAAAAGGGAGGGAGCACAGCCAGAGCGAAGAATTGTAAGAATAAGAGGTAAGGAGTGTGAGAAGTCACTACCAAAGACAGGGACGGACGGTGACAAGGTCTCCAGGCTCCGTCTCTATACTAGATTGTGTTCCTAAGAGAAAGCTAAACAGTTTCAGTCTCCTGGAAGTAGCTCGATAGATTGCTACGGAGCTCCCAACTTAGGAAACCCTTAGATTGCCTGTGTTTCCTCAGTTGTCTCTCTGTAGTTATCCTGTAACCTGGCATTTCTTTCTATTGTCCTTTACCCTTTATAGATATGGAAGAAGGCAGCAGTGTTGCCATGTTGGTGCCAGATATTGGAGAACAAGAAGCTATATTGACTGCTGAAAGTGTGATCAGTTCCTCACTGGAAATTGATGATCAAAGAAAAGCTAAAGAAGATCCATTGATCCATGTTATCCAGAAGTTAAGCAAGATAGTGGAGAATGAGAAGTCACAAAAATGTCTCTTAATTGGAAAAAAACGTTCTCGTTCAAGTTCCACAACTCGCTCTCTTGAAACCCAAGATCTGTGTGAGATTCCAGCCAAAGTAGCCCAGTCACCTGCTGCTGATACTAGAAAAGCTGAAATGTCACAAACAAACTTTACCCCCGAGACTCTTCCCCAAAGTGATGGCAAGGCTATGTCTTACCAGTGTAGCCTCTGTAAGTTCCTCTCATCATCTTTTTCTGTGTTGAAAGATCATATCAAGCAGCATGGTCAGCAGAATGAGGTGATATTAATGTGCTCAGAGTGCCATATTACATCAAAAAGCCAAGAAGAACTTGAAGCTCACGTGGTGAATGACCACGAAAATGATGTGGACGGTCACACTCAAAGCAAGGCCCAGCAGTGCGTGAGTCCCTCAGCCTCCTTATGTCAGAGAAGCATAGAAAGAAAGACTGAACCCATTCCTGATGTCCCAGTAAAGGTGGACAGTCCACAAACTCAGGCTGTCCAGAGTGCACCCGTGGCAGAAATGGGAAGGAGGAAATGGTATGCATATGAACAGTATGGCATGTATCGATGCTTGTTTTGTAGTTACACTTGTGGCCAGCAGAGAATGTTGAAAACTCACGCTTGGAAACATGCAGGGGAAGTTGACTGTTCCTATCCAATCTTTGAAAATGAAAACGAGCCCCTGGGTTTGCTGGATTCTTCAGTGACCACCACACCTGGTCGGGTCGACGCAGTAGTGATTGCTATCGGAGACAGTGAACTGAGTATCCACAACGGGCCGTCGGTCCAGGTGCAGATTTGCAGCTCAGAAGCACTGTCATCGTCATCTCCTTTAGACCAGGGAGCAGAAGGAAGAGTACACTTAAGCCGGTCAGTGACCCTTGACCCTAATGAGGAAGAAATGCTAGAGGTGATTTCTGACACAGAGGAGAGTCTGATTGCGGATAGCCTGCTTTCCTCAGCACAGAAAATCATTAGCAGCAGCCCAAACAAAAAAGGGCATGTTAATGTGATCGTGGAGCGATTACCAGGAGCAGAAGAAAGCCTTTCCCAAAAACATTTCCTCATGAATTCTGACATTGAAGAGGGGAAGAACCTGAATCCAGTCGAAGCCCCAAACGAGTGTGAAGGCACAGAGGACGTGTACCATGGTGATAAATGTACTGTTGATATCGGGGGCTTGGTCATAGGCTGGGGTAATCCAGAGAAGAAAGACGAGTTGATAAACAAAAGCCTGGCCACTGATGAGAATGCCCCACCAGGCCGCAGAAGGACAAATTCCGAGTCCCTCAGGCTACACTCCTTAGCTGCTGAAGCCCTGGTCACAATGCCTATACGAGCTGCAGAGCTAACCAGAGCCAACCTTGGGCACTATGGGGATATAAACCTCTTAAATCCAGATACTGGGCAAAGGCAGGTGGACAGTACATTGGCAGCATATTCAAAAATGATGTCACCACTTAAAAACTCTTCAGATGGGTTGACTAGTTTTAACCAAAGCAACTCTACCTTGGTAGCACTCCCAGAAGGAAGACAGGAACTGTCCGATGGGCAGGTTAAGACAGGTATCAGCATGTCCTTACTCACTGTAATTGAAAAATTGAGAGAGAGAACAGACCAAAATGCTTCAGATGATGACATTTTGAAAGAGTTGCAAGACAACGCCCAATGCCAACCCAGCAGTGACACAAGTTTGTCAGGAAACAACGTGGTGGAGTATATCCCCAATGCCGAACGGCCCTACCGCTGCCGCCTGTGCCACTACACGAGTGGGAACAAGGGTTACATCAAGCAGCACTTGAGAGTCCATCGGCAGAGACAGCCCTACCAGTGTCCCATCTGTGAGCACATAGCTGATGACAGCAAAGACTTGGAGAGCCACATGGTCAACCACTGCAAAACAAGAATATACCAGTGCAAGCAGTGTGAAGAGTCTTTCCATTATAAGGTGAGCACTGGCTTGTGAAATCTGCTAATAAGACCCTAGAATTAGGAAAGGTTTTATAGAAAAGGAACTGAATCCCAGGAACATTGACTCATTGGCCCCAAGGAGTACTAAAGTCGAGACTAGGCCTTTAGAGTTTCTGTGGTAAAGTTATTTCCCTGTCTGCTGCCTCCTTGAAGGCCTCTGCATACTGCCTCCATGTTTTAATGTATCATTTTAAAGGGTGGATTTTCATTTGCAAGGAAGCGTGGGTTGAAACACATATCTGTCACACGCAAGTTTACATCCTCGAGGCAAACAGTGTGTACTCATCCTCCATGGCCCCGGAATGCAGATGACTCACTCCAGCTGCTACACAACCAACAGTGATTTGTAGCTTTGCAGGGGGAAAAATGCGCTATCTTGGGTTTATTGAAGAGCAGTACATTGGGTGTTGAGCCTTGAATGCTGTTTAATGGGCATTTTAAGAACATAGAAGGGTTATTTTGGCCATTGAATTTTCATTCTAGAGGCTGACTTTAAAGCTGTACCCAACATGAAATGCTGTTAAAAAAAAAAAAAAAGACTTGCACTCACTGAATCATCAAATTACAGCCTTTCTCCTTTAGTGGGCTCAGTAACAGGTTGAAAATGTTTTTAACGTGTCCTCAAGGTTCACTGAGATGTAGGTGTTTTCTCCCCAGTGACCCAGCATTGGGATCCAGCTGATGGTAAGAGGTGGTGAGAAAGGTGAAGAGTTGGCGTCTGGGATCTAGTGCTGCTTGTGCTACTCTCATGCAAATCCAAGTAGCATATCCAAACAGATTGCAAAGAGAAGTTCCAAACATTTCCAGGAATTTCTTTTGCTGCTGTGGAAGTGGGAGGGTGGAAATCACTGAGTGGTTCCAGTTAAGGCTGTCTGAAACACCCAGCTGGTACATAAAGCAGAAAACTTAGCAGGAGCCCAGCAGTTACTGACTGGGTTCGTTGCATTATTCTGAGCACTGCTGTTTGCCTGTCTGCGTCTGCTGCTCATTGAGGAAATCTACACCTGGGTACATAAGCATGTCCTGAGACAGTGGGAACTTCTTTCCAGAGAATACCAGGAGGAACTGCCTCTTTGATAAAACTGTGATAGCCCGGTGTATTTTTAAGAAATTGCCAATTTGTTTTTGTTTTGGGGTTGTTGTTTGTTTTTGTTTTGTTTTTTTGGTAGATTGATTTATTTATTTTTATTAGAAAGGTAGATACACAGAGAGAAGGAGAGACAGAAAGATCTTCCATCCAATCCCCAAGTGGCTTCAATGGCCGGAGCTGAGCGAGTCCAAAGCCAGGAGCCTGGAGCTTCTTCTGGATCTCCCATGCGAGTGCAGGGTTCCTAGGCATTGGGCAGGCCTCACTGGTTTCCTAGGTTACAAGCAGGGAGCGGGATGGAAGTAGATCAGGCAGGACATGAATCAGTAGCCATGTGGGATCCCAGCACGTGCAAGGCAAGGACTTTAGCCACTAGGTTACCACACTGGACCTGCCAATTTTTTAAATAGTCCTTTGGTAGACTTGATTTTAAAACATTGCTAGTATGTTCTAGGCTGGACACCATGAAAGCAACTTAACCCTTTTCGTGGCCTCCTAATAATTGGACCGTGCATGTTTATCACAAATTACATGTAAATTTCAATGTTTTTAGAGTCAACTGAGAAATCATGAACGAGAACAACACAGCCTTCCAGACACCTTGTCAATAGCATCTTCTAATGAGCCAAGAATTTCCAGTGAGACAACTGATGGAAAATGTGTTCAGGAAGGTAAACTACTTTTTTCCGCAGTCTGTGCTCACTAGCATGTGAAATTGAAAGTGACTTAAGTTGTCATGGGGGTTACTTAAGGACCAAAGCATGTATTCTGGGTCGTTATACTGTAGATATAAATGGACATTACCCTGTTTCTGAGGCAATCCCAAGTGCTCAATGAAGTGAATTGTTAACCAGGTCCTACAAAGGGAGTCTAGCCCAGCAGGAGGAGTCCAGCTTTCACCGTGCAGGTAGAGTTCAGTTGAAATGTGTGCCTCTGCTAAGATCCAGTCCACAAAGCCGACTCAAAAAAACCCGCCTCCTCTCACTTGCTGCACCAGCTGACCTGCCACGAACTCAGCTTCTGCACGTGGAGGCCCCACCTCGGCCTAACCGGGCTTCCCACTGTAATCTTATGCTTACCCTCGTATGACTGCTGGAGTTCATTTACATTATTTTTTTTTAAGCACCCTCTTTTTATGTAGCAGTTAGGTACCAATAGACTAAGTCTCTGGTAATAGGAATATTAGAATCAAAAGATTTAATTAGACTTCCCTGAGATGGCGGGTATCACATCCGGAGAATTAGGGATAAAGTGTAATAAGCTGTGCTTTCTTGCGTCGACTCAGTGAAATTGATATACTTTAAATGTCTCAAGTGTGGCACACAGTGTTTATGGGAAATAAACCATGCTGGGGTGACTTTCCTTTCTGGGTTCCCTAAGAATTAAAGTTAGAAACAACTGCAGAGTGAAATGTTTCACCATAATGTTTCATTAAATTATACCCCAGAAAGCATAACTGGTTCTGGAATGTTTCTGAAAGAACTGATTTTGACACCACTGTAGCACCAAAATTCCCTTGTCAAACAGATGTCATCCCTGTAAAACTCTCCAAAAACAAAAGGGGTTTATGACACAACATCTGTTTCTGCGATAGATGGCTGAGCTAAGACAATTTTGTTTCCTTTTTACAAAATAGTCCTAACTGCCTCCTTTTATTTTAATTCATTATGTTTCCATAGCCTCTTTAAAGGAGACATTATAACATTAGAAATGATTGGCCCATAAATCCCTAATGTAGGAATAAAGTAACTGCTACTCAGCAGCACCACCTGCAGTTCATTCCCAGTCTGGAATGACTCTTCTAGCACCATCTGAAAAAGCAAACATTTAAAACTGCGCAGGTAGGTAAACAGATTAAAGCTCACCATTTTAATAAAAGCAGCCAGTTCAAATCACAGTGTTAGCCTCTGCCCCTCCCCTGCCCTTTTCCCGGGGTTCATACTCACAGTTGTCTTCACGCTCGCCTCCTTTGCTCCATTTTATGTTTTTGTTGTTCTGTAATTGATGGGTAGCAAGTCTATTACCTGCAAGTGGATGAATACTTTATTAATCTGATATTAAATGCTTAAGGAAAGGAGTTTGGCCTGACAGTTAAATGCCTGCATTTCTGCCTCAAAGTGTCCAGCCCTGGGTTCTGAGTCTGGCTTCCTGCTAGTCCTCGTCTTGGGCAAGGGCAGAGGTAGCAGGAGTAAGTGGGCTCCTGCAGTGCAGGCAGGAGGCCTGGATGAAGCTCTTAGCTCCCAGCTCAGGTCCCAGGCAGGAGCTTGGTGGAGGCATTTGGGAAATGAGCTAACAGATGGACGCTTTGTTTCTCTGCCTCTCAAATTAATTTTAAAGACAAATTTTCCGTATTAGATATTTTTTTAGTCTGGTTGACAGATCAAAGAACAAATTTTTAACTTACAAGATAAAAATGACTCATACTTAATAAAACTTCTGTAATCCTTTAGTAAAATTTTTAAGGAAGGAAGGTATGAACCTCTGTGGTCCCCCGTCTCTGACTATCTGTGATAGCACAGATACCTGGGGCATGTTTCCCAACCTGAGATCCCTTGTAATTGTATTTCTACCAGACCTTCAGCTAAGAGGCAGAGTTTGCCTCTTGAACTTTGTACCGTACCAGATATTGGCAGTGTGAAGCAGGGCGTCCCTGCCCTTGAGGAACCCTGTGAAGAAAGCAGAACTGGACTGATGAGTGTGTTGGCAAACACAGCTGCTGTAATACAGCCATCTGGCAAAGCAGTTTGGTCTAATGCATCTTGGGAAAATTTAAGTGTTCTTTCTCAGAAACCTGGCGTTGCTGAGCACCTGGGATTCCGTATAAACGGAACTGGATGATCCTTGCCCTACCCCCCAGGGAACCTGCAGCTTAGTGGTAAGACAGCGGAAGGGAAAATATGGGACCCAGAGAACCACGCTGTGGGGTTCTGTACTTCTACTTTGTAGACAGGAAAATGGAGACCTCAAGAGGAAGGATGATTTACTCCTGATCAGATTGGGAGTCAGTGGCAGAACAAGGACTAAGCCCAAGTTTTTGAACTTTAAATCCAGTCTTCTTTCCATTGGAAGCAGTTGCTTGGAGTGGCACAGGCTCTGGTTCTGTGCTATATTAAGTTTTTCCATCTGTCAGTTTTATTAGTTGTCATTGATCTGTAATATTTCTCACACAAAACCATTATCCAATATTTCACACTCCGTTTTTTCAGGTTTTTTTTTAAACTGTATTTGGAGCAGTGCCATTTATAATCAAGTCCAAGTTTTTAACCTACCAATTAAGAGCAGTACTTAGATTATAATTATGATTAGTGTGTGTATTAATGCTATAGCTCTATATCAGGAAATTAGGTCATTTTGTTCTGCCAGGCATTAGTTATTAGCAATAGAAAATTTTAATTTTAGAAAGTTTAATTTTATCTTGTGGGTTTTCTTCTGTGCCCCATGTACTTGTGCTCCTGCCGTACTCTTGAGCCTTCCACCTTTGGTTCTGAATATAAAGCGGTCAGCCTGTGGGCTTCCTGCTAACAGGAAAGATTAAGTGTCAGATGTCGTCAGGCAACAACACCTTCCTATGATCCAGTCATTGAACTTGTGTAGTCGCTCTTGAGTTCCGTGGCCTGATGTTGCAGAGGTGGGTCGTAAGGTGGCCTGCTTCCATGGGATCTGCATTTCCTGCACTGCAGAGGGCTGCATATTCATATTACTCCTAACCTTTGCCCCTGAGACCTGCCTGCTTACAGGGTGTAGTTACACTGCATAGGGGAGCGCTTAATGTTTTGCAGTTGATTTTGTTCCCAAACGCAATTGAAGGCTGGCATTTAGTTGAAAGCCAAGGAAACCCACACAATAGCAAACCTCTAGGTTTTTTATGTTGTGTTGATATGCATGCTTCAAAGCCACAGTTGATAATGTCAGATTATAGCATAGCTTGTTGGCAAATCAATGTTTGGTTAAAATCATGCATCCAATATTGATTAGACGAGCATCTTCACATTGGCGATGTCCACCTGATTTAACTGCTATGCGGTCAGCAGGCAGCTGGAACCAAGTCCAGTATACTCCAGGCCAGGCTGTCTGTATCTGCAAGCAGATGACGTTCAGTTTCTTGGTGCTGTGAGTCTGGATGCAGGGAAACCAGTGGAGCCACTTCACATTTGTTATATTTAAACAGTGAGAAAGCCTTGAAGGAAGCAGTGACGATGTGTGATTTCATTTACAATAGCATGTAAATGTTACCCTCTGACTGTCATCAAAGAATGACTCTAGAACTCTGAAATACTTTGTCTAGGGAATAAATCTGCAGTGCAGAAGCAGTACAGATGCGACGTGTGTGATTACACAAGCACAACATACGTTGGTGTCAGAAACCACAGACGGATCCATAACTCTGATAAGCCATACAGGTAAGTGTGATGATCCTAGAATTTTAATGCTTCAATTGCAATATTTCATAATGAATAAATAAAATCCAAATTATTAGGACTTTACTTTTCTTGTTGAAGCGCAGGTTAAAAGCTAAGGAACTTTTCCTCACTGCTTTCAGAAGATTTTAGCCTGTGAAGGAGTGAGCCCTAAGCTTGAGTCTCAGTGCAGTAAGCATCTTTTCTAGTTGATGTGCAGGAAGATGTTTGTCAGTTTTATGTTTTTATTTCATCTGGATCTAAGTTGCCATAGCAGTTTTCTGTACTTTCGAGTACATTTCAATAATTTGCTGATACTGTTAACTTGCAGCAAAATAACCTTTAAAACTTAGATAGTAAAAATCTTCATGAAATATACTATTTTTGAAAACTAAGCTATTGTATAGAATAAAGCCATTCAGTGTTGTTACTTGGTTTTTCATAAAAGCTAATTCGAATCCGTTTTTTTTTTCCCAGAAAATATATCAGTTCTCAGTCAAAAATCATCTAATAAGCAAAAATCATTTTTTTTTTTTCCAAAATGAAATTTTCCTGTTGGGGATTAAGTGTTGTCTGTGGGTCGTTAATTCAGAAGTGGTGCAGTTTGTGCAGCTGTCACACGGTTGGCTCTAGTTGTCGCTGTGGTGAACTGTCACATTCCCAAGTCACCTGGACTAGTAGTGCTGGGCTCTTCTTTGTCTGGGTCTTATAGATATGACAGAAGTAAGTGTGGAACACTCGTTGTGTTATCTAAATGAAAGCATGATCGACTGTGCATTGAAAGGTCATTGTTGGACCCTGTGGTGTGGCACTGTTGTATTGGTGCTGAATTTGCTAGGCAGGAGACTTGGTCATAGTCACCTTTCAAACAGGCATGTGTTTGCAAGTCTTCAATCTTGCCTCATTGTATATATTTTTTTTCCAAATGTTTTCAAGACTGTAATCTTTAAGAAAGATTTTTTTCCCCAGAGCGTAGCGAAGGCCATTGTTAACAATAACTCAGAGTCAGAAACCAGATAAGGGAAAACAGATGCAACTGAATGTTTGTCATTCATGATTTCTGCTGAGAAGTGCTTCAGAGGACTTGATAGAAATGATATGTTTATGTGAGATGATACTTTGCCTTTATATTGTGGCATATTTATCCTTGAATATAAGGTACAACGCTGCCAAATCCCTAGGGACCTAGAACGGAACAATTCACTTGTTCCTGAGAAGCACTGATTCAGCAGCTGTTCTGTTGCAGCAGCTAGGCTGGGCTCTTGGACTGTCATCATAAGAAAAAGGCATCTTTACTGTCAAAGAGCTTGTAGATAAGTAATAAACAAGTAGACTGTGAAATACAGGTTAAGCATCCCTAATCTGAAAATCCAATATTTCAGATTCAAATTCTGAACCTTTTTGTGCGCCAACAGGAAGCCACTAGTGAAAAATTCTGCAGTACAAGCATAAGCACACTTAAAAATACTGTCTAAAATTACCTTCTGGGGCATACCTTGTGGTACCACGTGTTAAACTGCCACCGGGACCATTATCCGGTGTCAGAGTGTCCTGGGTGCAGGTCCCTTAGCTTCCTGCTAACGTGCACACAGGGGCCAGCAGACGATGACTCAGTGCTTGAATTTCTCACCTCTCAGGGAGACCCAGATGATGTTCCTGACTTCTAGCTAGGGCCTAGCCCATTGCAATTGTTAGAGGCCAAATCTAGGAAGCAAACCAGCAGATGAACACTCTCTCTTTCTACCTCCCTTTCTCCCTTCAAATAAATAACAAAATTCAAGCTACAGAAATTATATAAAGTATATATGAAGCAAATAAATTTGGTCTTGAGTCGTATCCTTCGAGTTCCTTATTGTGTATATGCAAATATTTCAAAATCTAAAATAACCCAAAATGCATCTGATTCTTTTTTTTTTTTTTAAGATAATTTTTATTGGGAAGGCAGATTTACAGAGAAAAGGAGAGACAGAAAGATTTCCAGTCAACCGGTTCACTCCCCAAGTGGCTGCAATGGCCAGAACTGAGCCAATCCAAAGCCAGGAGCTTCTTCTGGGTCTCCACGTGGGTGCAGGGACCCAAGGCTTTGGCTGTCCTTGACTGCTTTCCCAGGCGACAAGCAGGGAGCTGAATGGGAAGTGGAGCTGCCGGGATTAGAACTGGTGCTGAGATGGGATGCTGATACTTGCAAGGCAAGGATTTAGCCACTGAGCCATCGTGCTGGGCTTGATTCCGATTGTGAGAGATACTCATACTATATGTAATTGTGTTAAATGTATGAAAGAGGATAATGGTTTTGACTTCTTGTTCTATAAAGACTTCACTGCCACCAGAGTAGATTACTTTTACTACTTAAAAGCTTGTTTTGATAGCGTTTGATGTCTTGGTGATGTTTTCAAAGAATTTAGACTGCTTCCAAAGAATTTAGTTACGTTAGGGACTTCAGAGTGGCAGCATCCTATGAGACTCCCAAGAACGGAATAGTTCAAGTCTATTCCAATTTTGTGATTCCTTTTAACCTTCTTTAAATACCTAAGTATGCCTGCTCCTTTGTGTGGTAGCATTTGCGGTCTTGAAGCATTACGGAGCGTCTCTCCCAGTCAGTTTATAAGATCTGCTCTCCTTGTCACGCATTGCTTGCTGTAAGCTGACATCATAAGCATACCCTTCTCCATGACTGCTCTAATTGGAGGATCACAGTAGTTTTTCTGGCTTATTTTTCACATCTGCCTCATTCGCTTATGATACGCCTGGTGCACTTCTGGTCATAGTTTGGGCTTGGTTGGCTTTCTCAAATTCCATACCCTAGACATTCTGATTCTTTACATTTTCTTTTTAAAAAAAAATGTTCACAGTAGCAGTGAGGCCTGCCTTGTTATACAGGTTCTGATTTCTGCACAGAGGTTTGTTACGTGTTTTAGCTTGCCTGTTACGTAATTGTTTTTTCTGTAGTGACAATACCTGTTCCTTTCTCGTGCCTGTGGATATATTTTTTTATATCAGTCCTCCATTGAGCCCATTTGTGTGATCTGGGCAGTGTAAGAGCCCTGGCTCTGGGAGCAAATAGCTGTGGTATTGAATCTGAGCTCTCTCATGCGTGATATTTTTGACCCTGGGCTAACTCTTGCACCTCTCTATGCTTGGTTTTGTCATATGCAAATGAGGATAATTAAGACAGTGAGGTTTAAATGAAGTGTCATGCCATATGAGATACTGTAAGAAGCAGCTAATAGTTATTGGTCCTCATTCCTTCCTAATGATTTATTGACTAACCAAAAGGAAAAGAAACTAGACTGTTGACGTGCCCTCATTTGGGAAACAAAGGAGAATGACTGTTCCTGGGTAAGCAGGCAAAGCTACTTTTACAAGGCAGAAATGTTTTCACTGCTAAGGTCCCTGTGCCATGTCGGGCTGCTTAGGAAGCAGTGCAGTGTCTTGGAGCACCTTTGATTTAGAGTCCTGAGTCTGGGTCACACTCCTGTACCCAATTGCTGACTCTGGAATATATTCCCTCTCCCCTTTTTTTTTTTTAAGATTTATTTATTGGGCCCGGCGCGGTGGCACAGTGGTTAAGGTCCTCGCCTTGCACGCCGGGGATCCCATATGGCCGCCGGTTCTAATCCCGGCAGCCCCTCTTCCCATGCAGCTCCCTGCTTGTGGCCTGGGAAAGCAGTCGAGGATGGCCCAAAGCTTTGGGACCCTGCACCCGCGCGGGAGACCTGGAAGAGGCTCCTGGCTTCGGACCGGCATAGTATCGGCCGTTGCGCTCACTTGGGGAGGGAATCATCGGACGGAAGATCTTCCTCTCTGTCTCTCCTCTCTGTATATCCGCCTTTCCAATAAAAATAAAATAAATCTTAAAAAAAAAAAAGATTTATTTATTTATTTTTGGGCCTGGCACAGTAGCCTAGCAGCCAAAGTCCTTGCCTTGCACACGCCGGAATCCTGTATGGGCACCGGTCCAGATGCTGGCGGCCCCCACTTCCCATCCAGCTCCCTGCCTGTGGCCTGGGAAAGCAGTCAGGGACGGCCCAGAGCCTTGGGACCCTGCACCCATGTGGGAGACCTGGAGGAAGCTCCTGGTCATTGCAAGCACGTGGGGAGTGGATCTCATAAAGCTGTTCCGTCTGCTGGTTCTTCCCTGTGCTCAGGAAATGGCGAGTCCTCCTCAACACTGTCCTTCCTGCGGGAAGGGAACCGCCTTTCCTGCTGGGACGGAGAAAGATGAGATGGCACCAGCCTAGCTCAGTCCCTGCCTGCTAACTTTGTCTCTATACGATGAAACCAACATACTAGTTTTATTTGTGCCGCATATTTATAACATTGTGTTCAAAATTTCAGTGAAAGATTGCATTCAGGATTTTCAAATATTAGGCTTTCATTAGTTCAGTTTAATAATGCAGAACTAAATTGCCCTGATTTTCCTCCCCGATCTTTTTTTTTTTTTTTTTAACAAAATGAGAGAATAAAACAGTTTCTCTGAGGTTATCAAGTTTGTTCTGCTCATGTGGCTTTGAGTCAGGGTCTGGAGCTGAACCGCAGTGGGAACAAGCAGGGGGAGGTACAGCCTGTGGACTTGCTGGCCCCACCAGATGCTCTGGAAAGCCCGACTGGTAGTTACCTGCACACCTCAGTTTGTCTCTATCAAATGGCTCTTACTGTATACATTTTTTTTAAGATTTATTTTATTTTATTGGAAAGTCAGATATGCATTTAAGGTATCTCAAAAACAGAATTTCAGAAAGATTTTAGCAGTAGGAATGACATTTTGAAAGGACAGAATATCAGTAAGGCCCCTCAGATTACACAGTCTCTATATAGACATATAGGAAATGACACCAAAGCTGGCATTTTTTGAGAACACTTTGTGTGGCCTGGCAGTGTGGTAAGCGTGTGGCACATGACAGTCCACTTATTTCTCACAGCGGTCCAGGGCTTAGATGTGGAGACAGAGGCTGCAGTAGATAATTAACTTTCTCCAGGTCTCACAAGTGACAGAGCCAGGA